TTGCCTGTGAAGCAACGATTTCATTCAGCATCTTTCGAGCATTTATATAAGCTGGCAGAGCCCCGTGCTGTCACTTGCCTGTAGATATGCCAGTGTCCCCCACTCGAAGTGAAGCCATTCCTGCACAGGGATCAAGGTGCACCTGACATCCTTTCTAACCTTATTTTATCTTTATTTTCCCATTTTACAGTCAAGTGACCCTTCTCTGGGAGTTTCCCTGTGGGCTTTTCGGTCATCTTTGAAGATGGCTGTTTTTGGGCCCCCTGCCCCCACCATGAATGTCAGCCACACATAGAATTTTCTGGGAGAGCTGGAGAGCTTTACTCTTTATACATGTTTATTCAAGGAATCCCACAAGTGGCTTTAAATGTTCTTGGCTTTATGACTGACTTTTAAAATTCTACTAACTCTGCAGAACAAGGATTTATATATTTACCAAATAAATTGATGAAGAAAACTCTAAGACATTAACAGATAATTAGACAAATGGCACAAAAAGACTATTATCAAAAGATGAAAGTTTAAACAGGTAAGGAAAAGTGTTCAACCTTACTAGTAATTTTAAAATTCAAAATGAAACAATATTCCATTTATTCAAATTAGAAGAGAATTTAAAATGTGAATGCAAAAAGCTGGTAGTAAAAAAAGCATTCTCAAGCATTGAACTGGGTAGAAAAATTGTTACAACCCATTTGAAAAGCAAGCAATTAGATGACATGAAGCAAATATTATTGAATCCAGCAAGTAGATTTTGGGAGATATAAACTAAGAACATAACCTATTATATCAAAACAAAATTTTTGCTCAAAATGTTCATCACAGCATTATTAGTAATAATAAAATGTTAGGAAAAAACTTAAATGTTCAAACACAGGGAAATAGGGTTATCAAATTGGTATTCACCAAAAGTGAAGGAGAAAATGCTTACATTTTAATGCTAAATGAAAGCTTAGGAAATAAAATGGTGCATGTATATACATAGATATGTAATGCTTCTAATGTAAAATAAAGATTATACAGAGAAAAATATGATGGTATTTCTTGCACGTCTTGAGGTAACTTTTTCTTCCTTTTACATTTGTATATTTTCCAAATATCCTATGACGAAAATATATAGTATTAGCTTCTCAAATTAAAAAATGCTTGTCAAAATTTCTTTCATGTTTTTCAATGCCGTATTTATTCCCAATTTCTTTTTCTAAACTCATAGAGTAGGAATCAATGTCCTGGTGCCCCTTTTCTCCAGGCTGTTCAGTCGAGTGTGGTGTGTTTGGGTGATGTAGAAGCCCCCCTTGGCTGGAGTGGCCTTCACTGGTCAGGGCACATCCAGGGGCACTCTTCTCCAGGTGGGGTCTTAAGCTACCTGTTCTAGGGCTGATTCATCCAGTCTGCAAAGCTCACCTCCTCTCCTTGCCAGGGGAAGGGCTCCAGGCAGAGGGAGCGGCAGAGTCAACAGCCCTGAGGCTGGAAGGATCTGGGCCCTTTGAGGAAGGAAGAAGCTCAGGGGGCTGGAGCACAGGGAGAGAACTCAGATCAAGGAGGCCAAGGAGGCAGGAGGCCCAAGGTCACATATGGTCCCATAGGGCCAGGCAGGAGTTCTGGTTCTATTCTGAGTCATTAGCAACCTCTGAAGGAAAAAACCAGGAAGTCACATGATCTGGGAGCAATTTGCAGCAGGTCTGTCTGTGGTGATCGCCCTACAGAGGGGCCTGGGTTGAGGTCGCAGAGGTCAGCAGGGTTCTATCACACCGTCTTCAGAGTTAAGACTTATGGAATGGGGAAGTGCCAACAGAATTTGAGGTGGGGGGAGGGGGAAGGGACTGGGAGGTCTGGGGGCACAGGACAGGGGATGGATGGACAGCGAGGGGCAACCCCACAGACCACCTGGTCAACTCACCTATGGAAGTCTGGCGAAAGGGAATGGTTGAGAAGCAGTCCAGCTTCTGACCTGGGAGAGAAGCGATTGAGATCCTGCTCTCGGGGAGCCCGGAACTCGAAGCGACCAGGGCTTGGGACCCTGGGAAGCAAGTCCAGCTTTGGGGCTGGTGGTTGAAGCCAGGCAGGTGCCCTGGGGCTGGGTCAGCGCCTGGGCGTCGGGGCTGCAGCTCACAACGACGGGGCATCTAGGGGTCTCCAGGGTCTCAGCCATGCGGCTGACCTCCAGGAGGGAAGTGCATGCCCGATCCATTTCAAAAGGACCCCAGCCCCACCCCTGGGCCGCCTTTCCCATCCCCCACCCTCACTTTGTCTCCCCTGATTGGAAGGCTGGCAGGAGGAGGGGGGTGATTAAAAGACAGGGAGGGAAAGTGAAGTTGGGAGGCTAGGGGCTGGCTGAGTGGCGCCAAGACCCCTACCTGCAACCGTTGGAGGGTCCCAGGGCCAGGGCACCTGGCTGGAACTGGAGGCATCCCGTGAACTTAGAGCACCTGCCCCGTGCGTTTCCTGGGGTGCCGGGGTCCTAGACTGACCGGACGAGTAGGGGGCACAACTGGCCTGGGAGGGACGCCTGGACGCCCCCGCCCTGCGAGGTCCCTCCACGTCCCTGCCTTTCCACCACTGGCTGGACCCGGTGTCAGGGATTACAGAGTATAATACTTCCTGGAACACAGATGACCAAACAACATATACGTTTCAAATGTGATAAATATTTATTAGATATATACTCAGTTGTTTGAAAATACAGCCACGAATCAGGTAGATGGGCACGGAGTTTAAAGGAATTGTTGAGTGGTCCCTTATAGGGTGCCTGGGACACTTCCACGTAGTAAATTTCAGGCAGGTGAGATTGCTAACTGGCAGCGGCCAGGGCAGGGAGAAGGAGCCCAGGGGCAGGGAACTCCGACGGAGACACTTTCTCTCCGGCTGACTGATTTTAGGCATGAGTGCGTGGAGACTGTGAGGATCTGGAAATTGATTCTCTGGAAACGCCCTAGGTCCACACACTCCGTGGAAAGCCTTTTCCTGCCCATCCTGGGTCCTTGGTGCACTAACTATAGGGTCCCTATTCCACACCCTATTCAAGACTCTGACAGTGCTGAAGAGGAGCCCCAGGTCCAGACCCCAGCCCTGCAAATGGTGCAGGAATTCTGGTGACAGGAGGGAGATCTGTTTTAATGAAGCCCTGGGCTGTGGACCAAGCTTCAAATGCAACAGAAAACACCACTGCTAAAGTATATCATCAAACGGTTTAAAGAGGGCTGTCCCGCAGATCTAAGATCCACCACTTAGACAATTCCCTAAGTCTTCTCTATAGTTTCCCGTTTTCTCTTGAGAACTAAATATGTGTGTGGCACAGTGTTTGTAAGATTATTTGCCAGGAAGTCTAGCACCTCCTAGTTCTAATTAGGCTGCCCCGACCAGGGTCACCGAACAGTCTCCGATAACAAGCGGTAATGAGAATGACAAAAGCAGCATTTTACCGGATTGTTCAGAGATGAGCTTTCTTGGATACTGTAAAGGGGAAGGAAATGCAAGCTAATCCCCTAAAGAAGGTTAATAGTATCCATGCATTTAAATTATATCAGCCTCATCACAGACAACTAAGAGCTGGAAATCCTGCACATTCACGTTGCCAAATTCTAGGAGATTTCCGTATTCCCGTAGGCAGTCTATCTCCACGTTGTCACTCAGGAGCAGACAGGCTCAAACTTTTTGGTGTCAGGGCCCCTTTAGGCTCTTAAAAATCATTGAGGACCACTAAGAATTTCTGCTAATGCAGATTATTAAGTGAATAATTTCAAAAACTTCATTTGTCAATTCATTTTAAAGCAACGATGAACCCATTTCATGTTAACATAAAACATATTTTTATGAAATATATCTATATTATCCAAAACAAAAAAAAATAGTGAAAAGAGCAGCATTGTTTTCTATTTTTTGAAATCTCTGTAATACCTGATTTAGTAAAAGATAGCTGGATTCTCACATCTGCTTCTGCATTCAGGAAACTCCACCCCACATGCAAGAGAAAACGAGAGTGCAAAGGGCACAGAACGTCCGGCGTTATTACAAACATGCTTTGACTTCATGGACCCCTTGCAAGGATCTCAGACATCCTCAGGGGTCCCCAGGCCAAGCTGTGAGAACTATAGCTCCTGATCAAAGAAAGCCGAGCTCCAAAGGGTGTGGGGAGAGCTGGAGGGAGGTGACCTGGAGGGCTGGCATTGCCAAGGCACGTTTTCGCTCTATTAACTTCACACCACGTTGGCCCACAGGAAACCCATCACCCCCACCCCGCTCCTCCTCCCACGGGGCAGGTGGCTCCAGAGAGGAATCCTGTGGTTATTTCAGGATTGATCCAATTGGTAATGCACACGGTTTTTTAACTGGAGAATATTTTTTCGAATAGGAACACATTGTAAACCTATATGTACAGCAATAGTAATGATTAAGTAAATTATATTTTCCTAAAGCATAATACTCTGCAGCCATCAAAAAGAAAGTAAAAAGGGAAGATGTACTCAATATCTTCAGGGTTTATTAAGCAGAAAACACAAAGTACAGAACAATGTGTATATTATGATCTTTTTAGTGTATTTTTGAAAGAGAATAATACATGTGTAACTGGGAAAACACACAAGAAATTGCTTATAATGATTGGTTATATTTGGGCAGATATAGAAACTTCAAAAAATTTTAAGCCTTCCAGCAATGAGTAACGTATTGTGTACTATTGTATTAGGTCCTTAAAGAAAAGGGGACGAGAGAGGTTTCGCGGCGCCTGGACCAGGTTCCCTTTCCGCCCTTTTTGCGTGTTGTCCCTGGAGAGAACCCCGAGACGACGTCTGGGGGTGCGCAGCCCGCCCGCCCCTCCCCGCGGAGCCTGCCGCTTCGTTCCCTCTTGCCCCGCCCCCGCCCCACCCTCGCTCCTTCCCATTGGTCTGCCGCCGCGCCGCCGCGTCCAATCGCAGCGCCTAGCGCCAAATTTGAATCGCTGTTTTCATTTGAATCGGGAGGGCGAGGCGGGCAGCTTTCCGCGCCCGAGCCGCTGACGCCGGGCGTCTCCGAGACGTAGCTGGGCAGGGCCACCCGGTCACCGGCGAGGGTGACCGCGGGGGGAGCGAGGACTGCGGCCGCGGCGGAGGTGGGTGCGGGCCCGCGGGCGGTGTCCCGGCCCCTGTAGCGCGGGGCGGGTGGTGGACGCAGGTGGACGCGTCCGGCTCCTCCCGGTGCGGACTTGGGTTGCGCCTTGACAAGCAGTGGACTCACTGGTGACAGTGTCGGTGACTCGTCCTAGGTGAGCTGCGGCCGGGGCGCCTCTGGGGGTGGGGGGAGCGAGGGGCGGCCTTTAGGGCCGGGGCAGCGGGGACTCCTCCGGGCACTGCGGGGACCGGCGCCGGGAGCGCGGCCTGGTCCCTGTCTCGATGGGAACTCCTGGGAGATGTGGCCCTGGTGGGCGGCCTCCTGGCCGCGGGTCTTGGGGGGCGCTGGGTTCCGGTGGGCGGCCAGGGACCTGGCTGGGGCTCCCACAGGGGTCAGGTGAGGTGTGGGCCGGGGCGGCAGAGGCATGGGGAATCGTACAAGCGACTCCAGTCGGTCACTTACAAGTGACTTCTTAGCTCTTTGCTTTCAGGGTAATCTCCCCTCCCACCCCCCGCGTGTTTTATTATTGTTTTACTCAGTGGCATGTTCCTGCAGTGCAAGAGCGGCTTGTAAATTTGCTTCAGCGAACCTTTTGACGCCTGACCTTCCCATACGGATTATACTCCAAATCTTGTTTAGAAAATGGGTCCTACAGGACGCCTTGTTACCATCAAAAGGAGCGGGGTCGACGGCCCCCACTTCCCGTTGAGCCTCAGCACATGCTTGTTTGGAAGGTGAGCCCTGTGCACGCGTGGACAATTCGGCTAAAAAGACTTGAATATCTTCATCACAGATTAACAGGCTGGAAACATGGCTCTAGGAGTAGTTCCTGCCCTCAGGTTTACTCAGGACTTACTATGTGTTGTCAACTGGACTGAATTGTTGATTACAAAATAGAATTTGGGGAATAATATTTATACAGTTGTGTTTTTCTAATCAAACAAAAATTTTAATATTGATTTGATAAAGATCTTTAAACGGAGAAAAATGTAGATGATTCTCAAATCCTGATTCTCTTCAGGCAGTCTTTAGAAGACCATTGTGTTCATCTGAAATCCCTCCAAACTTGGCATTCCTTGGCTACTGGGGGACACTGTTGAGCAAAGGAAGGAAGGAGGCTCTGTTTATGGTTTGTGGTATTTTCGGAAAAATGAAAATGGGAGGAAAGCCCTCCTGCTAGTGTTTGGAGAACTCCTCTTCTGTTACCTTCTGGTGTTGGTCTCTATAGCTGTGGTCCCTGAATAGCAGGAAACATTATTAATCGCACTCTCTTTCATTCTCTTTCACTCGAATTCTAACAAATGATAGGTCACCCTCCCTGTGGAGTCCTGTGTGTTAGGACCCCCACCCCCTTCTACCCACACCCTGTCCTACCAGCTCCATCCCTACCATGTTCCACTCCACCTCAGAAATTCCAAGCTCTGGTTCCCCTTGGTGCTTTTAGCCATTTTGAACTATATAACTGGGATGTTCCCTCTACCCTCCTGTGTGAGTGATTCCTTTCCAACTTTCAGATATTGTTTTAAATGTTACCTGAAAAGAAGCCTTTAAAGAACGCTGCTCTTGTCTTTCCCAACACCACACATGGTGATGAGTCTTTGGTTTGTCTGTCCCACTGCTAAGCTCTCCAGGGACAGGGATATCTAGTTAGTAGTTATGTGCTTGGTGCCTGGTATGGGGTCTGGCAAATGAGAGGGGATTGATATTTAGCACTCTGGTAAGTGTTCACTAGAAACATGGGCTGGATTTGGAAGCATATGCAGCAGTGGTTCTCAGCATAGGGCCACTTTGCCCCCCAGGAGACTTTTGGCAAAATCTGGAGACATGTTTCTATGTCACAGTGTGGCAGAGACGAGGCTCATGCCACTGGCATCAGTGAGCCGAGGTCAGGGATGCAGCCAAACGTCCTACAAGGTACGGGACAGCCCCCACTTTAAAGAACTATCTGGCCTAAAATATCACTAGTGTTGAGGTTAAGAACCACTGATCTAGAGTGATTCTAGTTGGCGGTTTCCTGCCAAACAAATGCTAAGTTCTGAGACAGTCTCTCTTTCTCTCTTGCTGGAATGTTCTGACACCTAAAAATCAAATTGTCTTCTTTGGTTTAAAATAGCTGTTCACTTTCCCTAGCTTCTTTTCTCTTCAAAGGTAAAAATAAACATTTTGGTATCAAATGGCAGTAATTCTGTTTATTATACAGCAGTGATTAAATGTATGTTTATGCAAGATTTTGTAATTTAGAAACCTGTTCATAAGTGTTTGGTCATATGACATGGGTAGGAAATGGTATTCTTAGACTCCGTAGGTGCATGTTGAGAACAGAGAGGAGAGTATACACTTGTTCAAACTTGTGGTAACAGGGACACCAGAGACCCAAGGAACCTCACTAAGGACCTCTTATTAGTTTCCACATGGGTCTGGGAAATCTCCCGTCTGGTTCATCCTGCTGATGTTCTTTGTGGAAAGACAAGTTGATCTAATAATGCTTTTTTGTTGCACGCGGATTAATATTTTTAATGATAGGAGACTTGTGAATCTGTCTGTTAATATGGTGTAGTTTTAAAACAACAATAAAAAGCTCAAAAGTAATGAGCTTTGACTGTGTGCCAGGCGAGTGACAGACGTGTAACTCATTTTTTGAACAACACTATGATATGGCTGCTAATGTGATTCTCTTTTTGTATATGAAGAAACTGAGGCACAGAGAGGTGCTAGCATGAAAGACTGCACTTCTGGTGATGATTAAACCTTTAAACATACGTAACATTACAAATAGACATACATAAAACGTTTTTTGTAGAATAAAAGCAGAATATTAAAAATAATTATTCTCCAAGCTGATATAAATTACTCCTTAATTTGGGTCTTATAGCCATAGATATTTTAGTTAAAAGGCAATTCAATTTTGTATTCTAATATTTTCTATTATAATTATTTTGAAGCCCTCTAGGTTTTAAGATTTAAAATAATTGCTTATATAATACTTGTAAAAATCGTTTGTAAGATGCAAAGATTGTTTACATTGCCGAATTTGTTCCTCCTTTATGTCATTACATTTACAGATCAAACACATAGTCAAATGCTGTTTTATTTTGAAACATTGATTTAATGTTTTTAAAAATTGCCAACCTAAAAAATCTTAATTCTTTTCAATAAAGGGGCATCGAATGTGACATCCGTATTCAGCTTCCTGTAGTGTCAAAACAGCACTGCAAAATTGAAATCAATGAGCAAGCAGTAAGTGGGATTTAGAAGTCTATTTTTTAAAACTTTTCATTTCAGTTTTTACCTACATATTAGTTACGTTTTCCTCCTTATTCCTACTTGTAGGCAATATTGTTTAATTTCAGTTCCACAAGTCCTACACAAGTAAATGGATCTGCTATTGATGAACCCATACGACTAAAACATGGCGATGTGATAACCATTGTTGATCGATCTTTCAGGTAGGTAAAAACTAATTGGGCTGAAAATAAATGGATCTTTTGAGTCACCAAAAACTAGCCTCACACATCATCTGTGCTCCTTCTTTAACCCCGGTGAATGTCAGTGTTTGAGGTTGTCATTATCAACAGTAATTCTTAATCTAAAATCAAATGGATCTAGAAGGAAAGACAAATGGGGCTTATGTGATTCAATTCAAGGATTTGAGTGCAAGTACTTGTGCACAAGAGGAGTGACCAGATCCTTAAGGAGTTTTATTTTGTTGTGAGTGTTGTGAAACTGCATATGTTTTTTAGTTTCTTTTTTATTTCGAAATAAATTATGCTCATGGAGAAAAATGCAAAATGAGATGTATAGCTAATTTATCATGAGTTGAACACCCTTGTGATCACCTGTTATGGACTGAATTGTGCTCTCCCAAAGTTCTTATGTTGAGTTCCTAACCCCCAGGACCCCACAATGTGACTGTATTTGGAGACAGGGCCTTTAAAGAGGTGACTAAGTTAAAATGAGCGCGTTAGGCTGGGCCCTAATCTGATATGACTGATGTCCTTATAAGAAGAGGAGATTAGGATACAGAGAGAGAAGCCAGGAGAGCAGGTGCTCAGAGGGATGACCATATGAAGAGGCGGGAAGAAGGCAGCCATAGCAAGCCAAGGAGACAGGCCCAGAGGAAACCAACCTCCCGGCACCTTGATCTTGGACTTCCAGCCTCCAGGACTGTGAGAAAATGAATTTCTGTTGTTTAAGCCCCCAGTGTGTGGTGTTTTGTTATGGCAGCCCTAGCAAACTAATACACCACCCAAACCATAAACAGAACATTTCCAGAAGCTTCTTTCATGAGTCTTCTAATGACTACTTTCTCTCACCAAGTAAACCACTGGTGTGGCTTTTCTGAGCGCATAAAGGTCTTTGCATGCGTCTCTAACCACTATGGCTTTGTCTGTCTGCATAAAACTCCATAAATTTGGAATAATGAAGTATGTATCTGTAACTGGCTCCTACTCTTAGGGGTGTGAGATTCACAGCATGGAAGTCACAGTTTGTTCCCTCTCACTGCATAAATATTTCATGGAAATAATATACACAATTATATACACAATTATATGCAATTTATTCATTCTGGATGGACATTTGAGTGACTTTCCAGTTTTTGAAATGAGTTGGGGCTTGCTTTATGATCATATGCTTAATTTTTTACTACTCTGTCCTGTGTGTTGATAAGAATGTGTATTCTACAGCTGTTGTATGTAGTGTTCTACCCGTATATGTCCTTTACATTAAAAATCTTAACTCTAGTATCACCGTAATTTTTTCCACTGACTCTTAGTTACTCAGACAGGTAAGTTGAAATCATGCATTGAGGATTTTTTGTTGTTTTTTAGCTGTCAGTTTTTGCTTTATATATTTGGAGACTATACTATTGCATTTAAATTTAGAATTATCTCCTCCTGGTGGATAAAGCTCTATCATTTATCATTTTGAAATGTCTTCTACCTTTGGTAACGCTTTTGATCAGTGACTACATACTATAACTTTTTCTATCACATTACTTTCAATTTTCATAATCCTTAAGGTTTAGGTTGTCCCTTGGAACCAGCTGGTAGGTGCACTTTTGTTTACAAATCAGTATATCTTCCTAGGTTGACACTTTATCCTTATAAAATGTGCTTGGTCTCTGTGAACAATTTTGATCTTCAAGTCTATTTTGTCTGATATTAGTATAGCCTCTCCAGCTCTCTACTGGTTGCTGTTTGCATGGTATATCTTTTCCTATCCTTTAAATTTCATCCTATTTGTGTCTTTGAATCTCAATTGTGTCTCTTGTAGATTGTAGATTACATTTTTTTCATCCATTCTGCTAAATGGAACTCCACCGTCATTTGTATTAAATAGATATTTCCTAATGTACTACTTGAATTCCCTGGTCATTTACTGTGCTTTTTGTGAAGTTGCCTTCATTTTTAAAGGGTGTTTTTATTGAATATATATTCTAGGTAGGAAGTATTTGATGTGGAACAGAGACTAGATCTGTCTCTCCAAAACGAGATGCTGTTCAAATTGAGATTAATTAAGATGATTGAATACCTCCAACAAAGAAAAGGAAATGGCTCTTAGGAAGAGGGACTTGACTCAGAACTATGCTCCATGAGAAACAATTCCTGATGCTTCAGATCTGACATAGGTGGCATCTAAATTCGAGCCAGGTTATCACGCTGAGATACCCAAGTTCAGTGTGCAAAATAAAAGGTTGCTCTGTGACTTGATATCTGAGGTCTAAATGTGGCCTTCATAAGATGTGCCTGTCTTTGTCCAGACTCAGATGGAATAAGTGAGAGACTGAAGAGATCATCATGGTCTTAAGTGAAAGGATAGCTCTATAGTTTCCCTGCAGTAAGTGACATCACAGAGTGATTAAGGGGTTGGATGCCACCAGGTTTGCTGGTTGATTTTCCAAGCAATCAGATTTTCATGATCATAAACTAGTGGAAACCCAATTTTGCTCTTATATGCAGTAGGTTTGAACACAGGTGGTGTTCGGAAATATTGTTGAATCATACAGGCTAGTAAGTGTTCCGAAATTAATCTGGGTCCCCAACCTTTGACAATGGCCTTCCAAAAGAAACTTGAGGCAACTTATCTAGGTTTTTAGAGTCAAAACACTTTCTTAACTCTAAATTTATTTCCATGAATAAGGTAATAGTTTGAACAAAGCCTGAAGTTTGTTCCTTGCTCCTTGGGCACTAGCCAGATGTGGAGGCTTTACTATCAGTTACAGATCTTTAATCTGAATATGTGTCTGTCATTCTATGCACTTCAGGTATGAAAATGAAAGTCATCAGAATGGAAGCGAGTCCACTGAATTTACAGGACAAAGATGTGAACAGGTGATGGGGATATTATCCAACTTTGGGCGTGATGATATGAAATCATCATGTGCACTTTGAGGAATGGATTCTCCCAAGGGAGGATGACTTAGCAGATATAGTAGGAAAATGTAGCTAAGGTATTAAAATAAGTTGAACTTAGACATATTAAAATAATTTAAAACTATGCTTTCTCTTTGTTATTCAAAATGAGAGTACTAAGTCGGTCTGATACTTTTAGTCCAAAAGCTTCTTAGAGTCTCTCATGATCTGATCTTCCTGCAAACCCTTGGTTAGGACAATCCCAATACATAAAACTAAAATTCAGGAACTAAGTTATCTGTCGGCTCATTTTGTCTCCCAGTCATTCTACTCATCCATCTTTATGCATCTGAAATAATGACATCAGAGTTGTGAGTAACAAAGATATTCCTTGGGACAGCCTGGTGGCGTAGCGGTTAAGTTCGCACGTTCTGCTTTGGCGGCCCGGGGTTCCCCAGTTTGGATCCTGGACGCAGACCTACTCACTGCTCATCAAGCCATGCTAAGGCGGCATCCCACATAGAAGAACTAGAAGGACATACAACTAGGATATACAGCTATGTACTGGGGCTTTTGGGAGAAAAAAGAAAAAGAAGAAGATTGGCAACAGATGTTAGCTCAGGGCCAATCTTCCTTAAAAAAAAAAAAAAAAGCCTGAAATTGGAGCCGAAAAAAAAAAAGATACTTCTCAATTTTGACAGACAGATGACCTGTGACACTAGAAGAGAGTTACTGTGCTGGGTCATGTGAAAGAATCCTGTCAGTGGAGAAAACGTATTCCAAATGGCTCAGCTTATTAAAACAATTCTGGGCCCATCCTTGGAGATGTAGTAGCATTTGGTAGGTTTAAGGTAAATCCTGGAATTTCTATCTTTTCTGCTTTTTAGGAAGCTACCCAAGTTAGTCTCAGATGACCAGGTTGGAATTCACTGGCTTGGGAGACTCATCATAGGTACGCCTGAAATTAGCAACAGGCCCTTCAGTTGAAGGTCCCGCTTCTGCTCTAGTGCCTGCTTCCCTAGGAGAGTAACCTTCACGTTGACCCTGCTGCTCCTCAGCTTTGGGGGAAAGCTAGCTTTTGAGGTATCCCACACCAGCCACCATCCTAACTTGTTAGTAGGCGTAAGCAGACCAACCAAAAAGCTGAACTATGGGTTCATTAAGTGTCACTCAGGGGTTTATGAACTGTTTGTTATCCAGATTGTGAGAGAGTAAATACTGAAATGGAATGCTTAGAACATATTCCGGCAATTTGACAGTGATTTTTATGGCTAGTGAATATAATAGTACAAAAAATATGCACTTACATTTTGTACATATTTTAAAATTTTAATTCATTTGTATTGTTTAGTCATAAGATTCTTGGTCAACTTCAGATTGGAAATTAGAAACTGATCCTTCACATGGACAGGTAGAGAAACAATGTGATGGAGACCAAGAAATCTGAAATTGATTAGAGAAAGAAGTTAAATTATTTGCCTTTGAATATATTTTGTGATTTCCCCGCCTAATCATTCAGATGATATATTTTTCCTCTTTTGAAACAACACCGGACTTTTATATCGTACGTACGTGTTATTCTGTAGTTGTTCCTCGCCCTCTAAGAGATTCCCTGTGAAAGACTGAAGGCGCTGTTCACGGGGTGCCAAGGGGGAGTGCTTGCTCTGCCTGCAGTGCTCTGAGGGTGCCGTGCCTCGGGTGCACTGTTTTTTGCTCGTGGTGACTTCTGGGCTTTCAGATACACCCCAAGTGTCTGCCAGCCAAAGAGCACACGTGCTCAGTGGAGCCTCAGTTCTCCCACAGCTCCTGCAGCCAATCTCTGACACAACCGAGAATTGAGTCAGTAATCCTGTGCCTTTGGTAGGCCGACAGACACTGAGTGTCGTGATGCTTAATTGTAGCTTTACTGCTTACTTCACATGGTGACAAGAAAGAAGTTTGAGGAAGTTATTAATACTAGCTGAGGGTCAATTTAAATAATTTTAAGCTTCAAGTTTGTTTCTTATTCCATGACTATTGTTAAAGATCAGCTGAGAAATACTTGTATCATGAGCACTAGCACCTGAATGTCTTGGACTCATTTCTCAAAGTCTCTGAAAGTCGTATAACAACAGTTTGGTAAAGAAGATCGTCAATAGGAAGACTGTTCTAATAAATATGACTGTCAGCATTTGAAAAAGCGTCTCAATTGCTGTTCTTATTTTGACAATTCACAGGGATCTCTGCGTCGGGTCTCAAGATCGAGCCTCTCTTCTGAGCCTGGTTAGTATTTTGGTTTTGTTCTGGGATCCTGCAAGATCAGTTCTCTGTGTAGCGTTATGGGAGGAAAGGACAATGAGAGCCCAGGTGTTAGATACCTACATATCTTAGACTCACAAAAGTTAGGAGGTTGTGTTCTTTAACATGACAAACATAGGCAGACACCTGAGTTAACTTGTCCTAAGTGATGTATGAGAGACCAAGCTTATTGGAGAGTCCACATATAAATACATTTTCTTTCTCAGTTGTCACCTTAATTCTGAGTAGATTAATAGCATTTGATGTATTGATTATAGGAGGCTAATGTGATTTATTTATTTAGATCAGAAAGCAAGTATCAAAAATACTGTTATTACACAGTTTGGGCATTAAGTAATTTGCAGCCTATGTGAAAAGCTAGGTTTTAAGACAATTTGAAACAGTTTTAAAATTTGAATACTACACATGTTAATCACTGAGAAAATCTTGAAGTTCTGTTTCTTTTTTCATAACTCATTTTCAAGATGGGAAAGTTCAAGATTCCAATGCCCGTTCAAAACTCACTGAAGAAAATGTTTCAGGAAGGTCTCTGGTACCTGTGAAGAATGTCAAAACACCTGGTACTGTCTCAGATGATTCAGAAGATCATGTTGCCAGGAAAACACCTAATGTTATTCATTCCTCAGAACTTCCTGGAGATAATTGCAGAAATGTAATGGGTCCCACTCCTGGGGATTTTAAAGAAGATTCCAGTGTAACATTAGTGAGCTATAATGGAGAATTGAAGTCTTTTCCTTCTACACAGTGTCTTAGGAATAGTGAAAAAAACGAATCTCCCTTTAGGAAGCTTTATGAGTCAATGAAGGAAGAGTTAGATGTGAAATCAGAAAAAGAAAATATTCTGTGGAATCATAGAAAATCCAGATCACAGAGTCATTGCTCATCAGAAAACGAAAGTGCTGCTGGTTTACAGGGCGGGTCACAGCTACTGGTCTCACTTAAATCCAGGCGGAAATCGGGTCAAAGCACCCAAATTAAGGCAGACCCTGCTTCGGGAGAACAAGGAAGTAGCCAGACTGAGGAAAAGAGAACTGATGAAGAGCCTGTTCAGACTCCCAAGGTGACAATGAGTCCCAGCATTCTCCGCACGCAGACAGCGGAAACAAAGACCCTCGCACAACAGTCACAGCGAAGCTCCTCACAGAAACGTCAGAGTGAAGCCCTCAGTGATATCCGGGGAAGTGATCCTGTGAATCTGAGTCTAAGTGAAGGCTTCAGGGTAGACAATAAAACCCTTACTCCTAGGAAGTCCTTAACTAGAAATCAGACACCCACTAAAGTTGAAAATGCTGGTAATTTGGGAAATACTCCAGAAAAACTCTTTTCCAAAAAGAGGAGGAGTATGCCTACAAATGTTGATGTTCTTACTACAGAAACAGAAATTCAAAATCAAACTATTTTAGCTCCACTGCTCGTTCAAGTTGAAAGGAAGATTCAAAACGATGCCCTCAACAAGCCTGAGAAATTGGATAGCACAGCTGGACAGATGTGCTCTGGGTCACCTGATCTTAGTTCAGTTGACGTCAGCAACTTTGGTGATTCCATCAGTAAGTTTATTTAACTGTTAATTTATTTTCCCCCAAAAGTCCACACCTACCTTATATCTAGATGTGAATTAATGAGACCTTCCTTCAGTCAGTAATGATTTGCTCTGTGGTAGAGAATCTAGGAGCCACTAAGGGTACAATGATAAGACCACCATATTCATTGTCTCCTCTGATAGATTCGCACTGACGACCTTATAACAAGGAGTGACAGAGGAAGTGCAGGTTGTTAGGGAAGAAAATAGCAGGGCATCTAAGGAGATAGGGTGGTCCCAAAACATATTTGATTCTCCTGTTCCATCTACAACAAAATAGAAAGGAGAATAGGCATAATTGCTTTTCACAGGAGGTTTAATTCTGAAGTACAAGCACCTGTATCCTATGAGTTTAATCTACTAGATTAAGTCAATGGGAATTCCTGGGAAATCTTTTAATATAGAGTGGTTCTCAGATATTTATACTCTGTTCTCAGGGTCTCCTATGAGCAGTTTCTTATAATCACTGGACTGTTCCCACGGGTTTATGTGCCAGGCGCTGTTCTACGTTCTTTACAGACATTGATACTTGATCCTCCTGTAGGCAATAGGAGTGCCCATGGGACAGGAATTCTTATTATCCCCATTTTGCAAATGGGGAAACTGACAACCTAATGTCACACAGTGAGTGGCAGAGATATGGCCGCCGTGATAGGTTTGTTAGCTCCTTGGCATCCTCCTACACTCTCAGGGGTCTCTAGGCATTCTTATGCAGTACGTTACTGTCAAGGCTCTGCTTCTGCAGAGGGCCCATAGTGCAGAGGTGTGTGCTCTCTAAAATTAGACCTGCACACATCAGTTACAGTGTCCCTATGATCTCATAAAGGGGGTGCATCGCTTAGACAAGGATTTATGTTGACTAGCGGTTCATAAAGATGTGTAGCAGGGGTGGGACTTGTGAATGGCATATCAGAATCACCTGGAGAAGTTTTCAAGTTCATAAATTCTACTCACTAGGTAGGTCTGGGTGAGGCCCAAGTATGCGTCTTTTGGAAAAGTTCTCTCAGGCCACTGCAAAAGCATCCATCTCCATCATGCCCCTGCTTCAAAGTGAGAGCCACTGCCTCAGACCAATCCTTTATTAAGCTTTGTCCACATAGGACTTTTCCACATTGCGAAGAAGATCTTTGTTCTGTCAGGTTGGGACTTGACGTTTTAGTGGTTTGACCCCAGATCTTTCATGAGCTCTTGAAGCAGCTTTAGCCTTGTCAACATTGTGAAAGAATGAAGCTGTGCTGTGACATGAGGTTTCAATGAATTTTACAGTTGGTTTGTCTTTAATCGTGATTTGAAATAAGGCACAAACATTGGTATAGTTTTTTCATTCCCCTTTCCATGTTTGTATTCATTACTTTAGATAAGATTGAGGGAATGTCCTTGAAAAGAAGGCGAGTGTCCTTTGGTGGTCATCTGAGACCTGAATTATTTGACGAAAACTTGCCTCCTAATACACCTCTCAAAAGAGGAGAAACACCAATGAAAAGAAGGTCTCTTGTCACTCACACTCCAACTGTCCTGAAGAAAATCATCAAGGTAAGTTTCACAGCCGGTATTCTCACTCTGTCTCATGACTCGTATCGTCGGTACATATTCTTTCCAAACACCTCACATGAATAGAATTACAGTTAAGACGTTTTTCTTTCTAATAAAAAAGTAAAAATACAATCTAAATGAGAGCTCATTCACTTGGGTGTTGGAAAACCAACACCTGGGTTCCTAAGCACGGTTCTAACGTGGCCGAGCATAGGTGCATCCTCGGCACTTTTCCTTTTCCTGCAGAGGCCTCCTGCCAACCCCGCTTACAGGGCCAGGTGATCACGCTACAGTTATAGTAAAAACTACCAATTGCAAAGAATCTGGAGACATCGTGACACATAACCATAAGGTTTTTTTTTCCTTTTAGAATTATAAGATGAAAAGGAAAATCTTGGTTGGCAGCACACCTATGATTTTCACCATCAGCTATTTACAACTTTTAATCATCTACCCTAGGTTGTGTTGTCCTCCTGATTTTCGATCCCTCAAAAGGCCCCACAGCTCACCTTCATCAGAGGGCCTGGATGGTCTTTAATTTCTTTTTATACCAAAAGGAGTGTAAGCTATGTCTGGTTTCCTTCTCATTGTATACTGGCTCCCAGAAGTGAGCAGCCCGCCTTCTGTGTAGACCAAAGGCAGGTAGACTCCAAGGGATGGTGTTTCCATGGATTCAGATCAGAGCACTTGCCTCTCATCAGGAGGTTCCTTCCATCTTTTCACCTGAAATACCTCAATTAAGACTTGTCTGATGCTTTTTTTCCTTTAAATGAGAGGGACAGACTCCCATCTCTACTTTACTCTTGACAGAGAGAGGTTGGTGCTTTAAGATTTAAACAGCTAAAATTCTTAATTGGGTAGGGTTTTCACATTCATTACAGAGATGTTATATTTGTGGTAAGGTTTCTTATGAACATGTACATCTTGTCAGGAACAGTCTCAACCATCAAGAAAAGAAGATTCTCCTTCAGAAACCCATTTGGAAGTGACTGCACAAAACGTGTTTATGAGCTCTCCTGCTCAGAATCCTACAAAAACTCCACTTGCAAATGATCAGCGCCATCGGTCATCCAAGGCATCTTCTGTCTCCAGTGACAGCAAATCTCCTCACCAGACAGATACTCCTAAGAGAGGAGGGAGAAGGAGCGGCAATTTGCCTTCAAAGAGAACATCCATAGATCGAAGCCAACATGAACTCTTACAGATGATTTATTCCAAAAGAAGGAGTGGTGCTTCTGAAGCCAATTTAATTGGTTCGTGTCGTATTAACAAATATGTTTTAAGGTTAATTTTCTCAGTAAGTCTAGTTTTGAAAAATTTCCACACTTCTTTCTTTTTGACAGTGGCAAAATCGTGGGCAGACGTGGTAAAACTTGGTGCTAAACAAACACAAACTAAAGTCGTTAAACATGGCCCTCAAAGGCAGCTGAACAAAAGACAAAGAAGGATTAATACTCCAAAGGTATGGGTTCCAATAGGAATTGCTCTTTTACACATAATTAAGATTACATTAAGTGTGGATTTATGCTTTGACATTTTGTTGATCCGATTTTTTCCAGAAGCCTACTGGCAGTGTTCACAATCAATTTAGTACAGGCCACGCGAACTCTCCCTGTACCATAGTAATAGGGAAAGCTCACATCGAAAAAGTAAACATGCCTGCTCGGCCCTACAGAATGCTGAACAACTTTGTATTCAACAAAAAAATGGACTTTAATGAAGATCTTTCAGGTAAAAACTGTCAACTTAAAAAGAAAATTTTCTAGTTATTTTACTCCCAAAACAAGTTTTTTCGGGAATAGCCAAAAGAATTGCAATTCTGGATGTGCCTGCTATGGTGAACCACAGGCAAATCCAGAGAATAAGAGAAGGGGCTTCTTTTTATAAAGCATAAAAGGGGCTGTTCTAACCAAAAGTCCATTGGGGGAAAGGAACAATTCAGGGGGGCAAGGGCTTCTCATTGGCTGAGCTGTGGTGTTTCTCGTTGGCTGGGCTGTTGCTGAGTGGGGAGAGAAATCTTCCTTCAGTAGTAAAGTGGTACTTCCTGTTGGAGATGCAAGCATAGGATTCTTCCTGTTTGTAGTAAATGATGATGTGTAATAGGGCTGAGAGCTCCCCCTACAGGCCTTCCCGACTCCAATTTAGTAAAGGTTTCTTCTATTAATTTCCACAAGACATAGCCTTGGCTCTTATAAACCATAGTCCTTTGATCCTCCTACTGTGAGGATGTGGATGGGTGCTACATGTGTTTATCTGCTGTCAGTGGGACAGGAGAATAAACAATCCTGTCACTTCCCTGGGGTCATGATGTTCAAGGAAGAGAAGGCAGGATTGGAGAACAAGGACAGGTCCCCAACAATTTGGGGATCATGTGTTCCACGTGAAGCAGGTGTGAAAGGTAGGTGCATATCTTTACCTCGGAGAGCAGGATAGGTGGAGAAAACCGGAAGCTGCTTTATGGTGAAGAAAGCAGGCTTGCTCTTAAATTTGCCCTTTCCTGTATTTACTCTAATAGATGGCCACAGAGTTGGAGAAATTGGTTTGAGCAATATTTTGCTGCTTCAAGATTACTTTTACTTCCATGTAGCTTAGTGTTCATGAAACAAAGTCCTGTGAAAAGGTTTCCTTTAATCATCAATAGTTGAGCCAAAGTTGCCATTTTCAGTAAAAGTGTGATATGATTTGCTTATGGTTGTACTGGATTAGAACCATGGCAAAAACCCAAGTTTGGATTTTATGCCACATAATTTGACCAGTGGTTTCCACTTTGAACTCTTTCAAGGGAGTAGAGACTTGAATCCATTGGGTGGAATCTTGTTTTTATTTCCTGGCAGATTATAAGATGGCAGAATTGTACTCCTCTGTATAAGCCATATATGGTATCCTCTGATTAGAGTCACATTTGGATCAATACATTTAGCTTTCTAAAAAAACAAACCAAAAAAATGTAGAACAGTGGTAGCCAAAATTTTGAAAGCCTACTCCATGAATAAAAAAACTTTGAGCATATACCACCCAATATGCAGACATATGTATGTATATCTGTATATCTTATAAATTATGTGCATGTATGAGTGTGCTAATATATATGTTATGAAGCATGAAAACAAATCCTCAAAAGTATTTTTAAGATGAGATAAATAGCAGTTTAAATACTTAGTACCCAGGACAGTGGATTTTCTCAGCCTTCCTTCAAGACTCTTTCCTAGAGTCAGCAATGTCCACTCCTTGCTGTGAGTAACTTTCACAACAAAACGTCAGTATGTGCTGAAGACTAAATCCTGGATATTTAAAGTAAGGCCTGAATGGCAGCAGAGGGATGAGATTTTTAAGTCAGTTGGCTCGTTTGGGAGCCTTCAGAAGAGGCTTCCCAAACGCATTTTGCAGACAGTGCCAGACTGATAGCGTTTTGATTACTGATGGCACACTGAGAAAAGTAAGGAGAATGTGGGATAATATAAGTTTTTCAGAAAGTTAAATCTTCCATTTGAAGTACTGTATGGTTCTTTTTTTTCTGAGATTATGTTAATATTACTTTTTGGTGTTAAAAGATGGTGCTATTATTACTTGACAGAACTAAAAATGGGCAGCCCTGTTACCAAGCAATGGGCTCGCTTTGCTTGCTGCGATCTGAGCCAATCACTCACAAGTTAGGGATTGAGAAAGGAAGCTTTAATTCGATTAGCCAGCATAATTGGGAAGATGGCAGACTAGTGTCTCAAAAAAACCATCTTCAAGAATTACAGAATCTTGAGGCAGTTGTATAGGGAAAATGTGCTGTAAGGAGGGGGTTTAGAAATGTTGGCCTTCAGGCATGACGGACTCCAGGATCTTTTATTGTTCTTTTCTTCTGTCAGTGATGATGAATATCTTGTAGGTGTGTTTCCCGCCTGTGGTCAGCCTGTTCCTGGAGAGAAACTCATAGAACAAAGTTTTAATTTATCATGCTATAGGGGAGTACATACATAAGTGGAGGCCATAAATCAAGAGAGCATGTGAATTTTTTTAGAATACGTGCACAGCCATGAGTAGTCACACAGAAGAGGGGCTGGGGCCATTTAGCATAACAAGATGGCCTCACTGATGTTCACTTACAGCCCTATGTCATTTTTAAAATTGGGGAGCATTTTATTTCTACATAAAATTCAGAACTGCACAACCTAGGACTTTTTGGAAGTGTGAGGGCAATCGGTTTTATGCATGCTTGGAGGGGAGGCACTGAGGGCCCCAGCTGTCCTCTGGCCAGTGCTTACAGCTGGGGACAGGAATGACTTTGGAAGATTGCAGACATCAACTTCCTTCATTTGATTTTCTTTCCAAGAGGAAAGACAAAGAAGAGGAAAGATGAGTCTAACTTCCCATTGCCCTCTTTTAACAAAACGAGTTCGTTATGCATGCATCACCCTCTTCTATGAGAGCCTATCTTCCAGCAGTTCTAGGGAGTGACCCATTTTCTACTTGACACCATTCCCTTTGTCGTATGTGAGGACTGGCATGGTGGTTTGCATGTGTGGGCAATATGTTAATTGCTTTTCCCATATTTTCATATCACAGGACTAACTGAAATGTTCAAGACTCCAGCGAAAGAGAAGCCACAAATGATGAGAATATGTCCCATCACTTTTTCAGATTCAGAGGATTTGCTTGGAAAAAAGTTTCAAGTACCTAATTCGGAAGAAAAACCTCTGCTATGCACTTCAGAAAATTTTGGTTGGTTTACTTTTCTTCCCTAGTACTTTGATGTTTTCAACAGAAACTATAGATGGTATTATTTTTTTTACAACAGATATTGTATTATTTCTCTACAATAGGCACTCCTGATAACCTACTTTTCCAGCTTCTCTGTTTTATCGTTTTGGCAAAAATTCCTATCAGCAGTTGTACTAGCATTGGCATTCAGTGACTTGCTTAAAAAGGAATATTTGTTTAATAACCGTGAACTACCCATGTACTTTTGCTTTATTTATTATCAGCAAAGAGGTAGATAAGCAGAAAAGTATAATGGTCTCTCATCATACTTATATGTAATTTACTCAAACTCAAAATTATTGTAAATTACCAAAGAGGAAGATAACAATATGTACACTGTGCAAGTATTCCTCCTGATCTTCTGGAGGGGAGTGTACCCCAATGCGAGTGTGAGATGGGACGTGTGAGTCTGTCTTGCTCTTTTATTTGGTGCTGGTTACTGAGTCACAGAGGGAACAGTTTGCCACACTGAAGATGCTTCCTGTAGCTAAAGGGTAGATGTTTCCTGTTTAACATGGACCCTCAGCATACTAAGTGTAAGCCATGTTATTGCACTAGTGGTTGGACAGAAGAAACAGCTGTTTGTTTCTTACGTTTCAAGAAAAAAATGTCTGTATTCAGGTCACTGAGATATGGTGTGACAGCCTTCAGGAGACGCTTCTTAAGGAATTTTTTCTTTTATCTAATCTTTGTAGATCCTCACCACCACATATGTATGACCCCACTATATATCACCAAATAACATTATTCTTAAGTGTACATGGTTCATGCATAAGACAGATTTATGGCCACATAAGCAGCCTCATCTCCTTAGTCAGGTGGATAGGAGGCTGAATTATTGGCTATTACACAATATTTCATGAGGATAAAATACAAAATTGGCCTAAAATGGTGAACAGAATATGTTTATCATGTATGTTTTTATTTCTTATAGGAGAGAGTGTGTTCCCCAGTACTCAGAAAGCAGCAAAAGAGCCGTCAGATAAAAGTTCTGCAAGCCCTGCCTTAAAACAACGGGATAGGAGAATAAATGAAGATATCGTGAAAACTCCCAGGAACATCTACAAAATGACAAGTGCTGAGATGAAAACTCCAGTATCTGAGGCAGAGCCTCCAAAGGTAGCAGCAAGTACAAACAAGTCTAGAAGGTCTGTGGAGCTCAGAAATAAACAGACGCCAGGCGCAGAGGATGAGAATGAAGAAAGGAAAACCGACACCATGGAGAACATCTTGGGAAGACGTCTGAGGAAAACACCACTACGAGAACAGAAGCTAAAGGGAGAGATGAAGGAAAGTGAGAGATCTTTTGAGATATGTAAGAATATCATCGAATCAAAAGAAAACTCTGAAAAGATCATGGCTGTGAGGAGATCAAGAAGATCTTCAGAGCTAAAATGGGAACCAACAGCAGACCTGACTGCCCTCAAGAGATGGCAAGAGACAGAACCAAAGGAAGACCTGGCAGACATCCCAAGTCTCCTCCAAACCCCAGACTATGTGGCGAAACCGGTGGATACAGAGAACAAAACCACAAAACTGCGCTGTAAATCTCCAAAACCAGAACCGGTCAACATGCCAACAAGGACTAATGTACAGCTCAAGACACCTCCCCAGAAAGTGGATGTAGAAGAGCTCTTAGTACTCAAGAAGCCCACACAAACACCAGGAGAAACCACATACACACACAGAGAACCAGTAGATGATGAAAAAAGCATCAAATTGTTTAAGGAAACTGTAAGGCGGGAACTGGACTCTGCAGAAAATGTAACTGGAAGTAAGGGCCAGCCAAGAACACCTAAGGAAAAGACTCAACCTCTAGAAGACCTGGCTGGCTTCAGAGAGCTCTTCCAAACACCAGATCACGCCAAGGAACCAATGACTGATGACAAAACTGCTACAATACTCTCCCAGTCTCCACAACCAGAACCAGCCATCATGTCAACCAGCAAGACCAGACGGCTCAAGACACCTCTGCAGAAAGTGAACGTAGAGGATGAGCTCTTGGCACTCAGGAAGCCCACACGAACACCAGGGGAAACCATGCTCTCACACCAAGAACTAGTAGGTGGTGACAAAGACATTGCAGTGTCTCAGGAAGCTCCAGAACAGAAACTGGACCCTGCAGACAATGTAACTGGGAGCAAGAGGCGGACGAGAACACCCAAGAAAAATCTCCATTCCCTCGAAGACCTGGTTGGCTTCAAAGAGCTCTTCCAAACGCCAGATTACACCAAGGAACCAATGACTGATGACAGAACCACAGAACCAGTCAACACACCAACAAGTAGAAAGAGAGGGCTCGAGACACCTCTGCAGAAAGTAGACATAAAGAATGAGCTCTCAGCACTCAGGAAGCCCACACAAACACCAAGAGAAACCATGCTCTCACACAAAGAACTAGTAGGTGGTGACAAAGACATTGCAGTGTCTCAGGAAGCTCCAGAACAGAAACTGGACCCTGCAGACAATGTAACTGGAAGCAAGAGGCGGACGAGAACACCCAAGAAAAAGATCCATTCTCTCGAAGACCTGGTTGTCTTCAAAGAGCTCTTCCAAATGCCAGATCACACCAAGGAACCAATGACTGATGACACAACCACCCAAATATCCTGCAGATCTCCACAAGCAGAACCAGTCAACACACCAACCAGTAGAAAGAGAGGGCTCAAGACACCTCAACGGAAAGTAGACTTAGAGAATGAGCTCTCAGCACTCAGGAAGCCCACACAAACACCAGGGGAAAACACGTTCTCACACAAAGAACCAGTAGGTGGTGACAAAGACATTGCAGTGTCTCAGGAAGC